AAAAATAAAAAAATATGCATGCACATTCTCTCAGCCCCAGAAAAGCCAAGGCAATGCCTCCCCTTATTCTGAAGACACAACAAAAGCACCCCTCGAAAGAAGGAGCCATGCCCCAAAGCTCTGCCTCCAAAGAAGTGGTGTTAAATGGGCGCAATCGCTTTATTTCCCCTCCCTCCTTCCTCTTCGCTGTCTCCCCAGAGGCCTCTTCCTAGGAAAATTTGACCCCCCAGCCCCCCCAGCCCCCCCCCGTGTGTGAGTCGGCTGGTCACTCACTGGCCTATATCTGGGGAAGGAAGGCCCTGTCCAGACCCAGCCTTGGCCTGGCACCGGCTGCCTCTGGACCAGCCTCTCTGGAGGGCACTTTCCCCAAAAAACCTATGTCTTTTCCAACCGATGGCAGCCCTATCTCTCACAGGCATTTCTTGGCCAGATTGCTTCAGAAAGGGTTTGTCCTGACCTTCCCCTGAGGCTGGGACAGTGTGACCCAGGGGCTTTCCATGGCTGAGCAAAGGGGATGTGAACCCGGGTTTCTCAGACTCCTGGGAGTCCAGTGCTTCAGCCACAGCATCATGCCAGCTCTCAAGGGTTGTCCAGAGGGGCTAGCTTTTGCTTTTGCTTTCTCCTGAGTTTTCAAGGGTGACCAAGTCCAGTGCCCAAGCCACTAGGCCAGGCTGCCTCCACGCCATCCATAGCCCTTGCCTCGCCTGCGCTGGAATTTGGGGGGGGGTGGGGTGCATGTGGGGCGTTGTCTTCCCTTGTCAGGCCACAAGCCCCTGTTCAGACCCCCACACCCCCCCTCCTGTATGCTTGCAGAGGAGGGTCTTCCTCTGTTCCACCAGGGACCCCAGATGGTCTGGACAGGAGGGACAATGCCCTCACCCCCCCACCCCCAAATACACAGAGGTCCTCAGGCAGCTCTCTGGACAAGGCTGATGGGTATTCAGTCCCATGGGAGTGGGGTGGGGTGGTCTAACTGTTGGACTATATGACTACAGAGACCAGGGTTCAATTCCCTGCCCAGCTGTGGAAACCCATTGGGGGAGGCACACACTCTCAGCCCCAGAAAAACCCCGGGTAGGTTTGCCTTAGGCTGGGTCAGAGAGGACCTGGAGGCCCACAGCAGCAACCGTGGGAGAGACCTTTTCGTTGTTGTTAACTGCCTTCACGTGGGTCTGGACCCATGGCAGTGACCCTTTGGATGGAGGAGAGGTCTCCAGGCCCCTGTCCTCCACTGTCCTCCCCTGCGTTGCCCAGCTCCTTCCTGCAAACTCATATTCTTCGTGGCCCCTTCAATAAAGTCCCTCCATCTGGTGGCATGTGGCCTTCCTCTCTTCCTCCTTCCTTCCTTCCTTCCTTCCTTCCTTCTTCCCCAGCATCATTGCCTTTCCCAAAGAGTCCTCTCTTCTTCTCATGATGTGTCCGAAGTACAAGAGCCTCAGTCTGGTCATCTTGGCTTCTTCTTCTTCCAGGGATCTCTCTGGACTGATCTGCTCTAGGACCCTTTTGGCTGTCCTCCATGGGGTCCTCCTCTGCATCTTCTCCAGAGACACATTATTCTCCCAAATGCTGCATTGCTTTTCCTCCTGTCTTCTTTCTTGACTGTCCAGCTGCCACATCCATCCATGGGGATAATAGGGAACACAGTGGCTTCTTGTATGA